GCTATGGGGGCACACATGCAGGCATGGTCACAAGCAGTAGAAATTCTGGAGGAACCCTTTGCACACTGGTATATACCCTTTCCAGAAAATATTGAAATAAAAAATAGGGATATTTAGTTCAGTATTTAAATATCCCTATTTTTTATTGCAAAGTTTGCTGGATAGAGTATATAGCAGTTTGCAGAGGGTTCCTTCAGAATTTCTAGTGTTAATATGTGGTTATACCACTTTAGCACCTAATAGACAAATGCATGTACAAGCTATTGGGATTTGAGCACAGGTATATCTTGCTTGATGCTCACAAGCAGGTATGTGTGTGTGTCCATAGACACACAGCGCAGCTCAGCCGCACCCCTGGCTCACGCTTCAGAGGATTGGATTGATAGCAGCAGGGGTCAATGGCTCCTGCTGCTGCCTCTGAACCTGTGAGACAAGGGAGAGACCAGCACTGCTGCAGACGGGCACAGTGCTGGATCGATACAAAACAGTATTTGGGAGTTTTTTTACTTGAATGTAGGAAATGCATTATAGAGTAATTCCATTTTTGTTAAGAGAAAAAAAAAACATTCCCCTCTGGGTGATCTATGTAGATTGCAGGGATTTTGACAAACTAACCTAACAAACCTTTTGTTATTCTGAAGAAATAGCTGTTTGTTTTTCTGTGTCCATGTGCAGAGTGAATCTGTGTGGAAGTGATTGTATAATTATCAATCCGTTTCTGCACCTGCAGGGCTCTAATGAGGAAAGTGGCAGGGTCTGCATCCCTTTAGATGTGATTTTCCTTTGAGAGTATCTCACAAAAAATGACTGTTTTGTTGCTGAGGACACCAAAATCTAATTTGTATATTAGTGCAGAAAATCAGCATGCCAATCACACAAGCAGGAAATAAAAATTTTTTTTGGGGGGGACATTCTGTACACCATCTGTGTATACAACGCCTCGAGGCTGCCATACTGCATTACTTTTTACAGAAAGTTACAGCTCTGCAGATTGAAAAGGAAAGGGAAATGTAATAACATTCAATTTAGCAATGTAGCAATTATATATTATTGTTATATTGTTGTAATATTTTAATTGTATATTAAACATTTTTACTTTTTATTTTTTCCCGTGAAAGTGGAGTTAACCTTTTGGTTTTAGAACCACTTTAAAGCAGTACTCCACTCAAAATGTGTATTTTCCCATGCAGTGAAGGCTGTACCCACACTGCTTGGGTTAAATGCCTTGTTTGCCTTGCGGTAATCATGCTACTGCAATAGCCCTTTTATATTCTTTTTCCTGAGGAAGGTTTTTTTGAAGTTGTTGACACTCTCAGCTATTACCACTTCCCTAGAGAGGGTGTTGGACATTTTTACTGCTCGATGAATACAGAGCCCTTTCCTCAATCCAAGGTTAAACCTCCTTCTTTTTAACCTCAGTTTGTGATTTTGTGTCCTCTTCAGGGACTTTCAAGTTACTGAAGTCATCTTCAATACATTTGTACATTGTAATATATCTTCCCTTGAGTGCTTCTTTTTCAGAGTGAATAAATAAAATCTGTAATCAATTCCTAAAGCTGACATCCTCCACCCCCCTTATTAATTTTTTTGCTTGTCGCTGAACTCTTTCTAATTCCACAACATCTTTCATAATGTTTGGTGACCAAAACTGAACTGCATATTCAAGATGAGGTGGAATCAGTGTTTTGTAAAGGGTTAGAATGATTGGTTTATGTCTTGAATGTATGCCCTTTTTAATGCATGATGGTATTTTGTTAGTTGTGACTTGGCATTGCATGCTATTCTTAAAGCTGGTCATTCATGGATTGAAATTTAGCTGGTTCAGCAGGGACTGTCCTGAATTTTGATCCACTCTGGTTTAACAGAAGATCTATTGATCAACTTCTGTACAACTGTCATGTTGGTATATTCTTGCTCAATTAGCGCCACAGGCAATAGGTTGCAACACTGATCTGTGTATTTTGATGGTGGGGTGGTTTTCCCGCTGTCAGAATACAATGACACAGCGGGGAGGATTCCCCCATCCCCCCCAAATGTGTGGATAGGGTATCAGGTCAGTTTTTTTTTTTTGTTTAACCTACTGGTTGAGCAAACAAACTGACCTATGTATGGACAGCTTTAGTCTGTGATCTGTAATAATATGAGGCTCATCTAACAAAACGCATATTTGCTCAGGCCACATTGCCATGGTGGGTTTCCCAGGTAATATTTTATACCTGAGCATGTTTGGAGATATGTGTTCACTTCAAATTGGGATACATGTGCAAACCCAGTAGGCAGTATTTTCAGTGAATAGAAAGATATTAATACTACAAACCAGCCCCGGAGTTGAATAATGTACCTATTAAGTGATTCTAAGAAGTTCATTGTTTTTTTTTAACTGCTATAATATAAATATTGAACAGAGAGCTGCACCATTCAAATCTAAAGCTATTACCAAATAAAGTTTTTTGGATTGACACAACAGTTTTGTACCTATGAACCTACTGTATGTATGACTTGTTGCTTGCTATATTTGGGAAGAACAAATGATTGTTTAGGTTCTACAAAACCCTTTTGTGTAAGCAGCTCCCATTTATTACCAGCAGCAATTTCCTACCCCATTCTCCTTTGTCCAAAGCAATAAAAATAATATTCCGCTGAATAATTTAATCATATTTATCCATCCAGTTGTCAAGGTCAGGGCTTAGGCCCGAAGACCAGTATATTGCTACAGCCATATATAGCAAGTACTGCTATAGCAGTAAAGAGGCTCCCACCAACCAGTAGGAGAGGTATACAAGCGGGTCACCCTGGCAGATGATGTGGACTCATCTAAGGTGCAGGGTCTAAGCACTAACTGGTATTCATAAGAGCTCCTTATGGTGGAGATGGGATTTGCTGTGTATTAGTACTAGGTCATGTCCTCAGGATTGCCCCATCAGGAGAAGAGCAAACTGGGGTCCAGTAGCAGATATAGAAGGTAGGGTTCAATCGGGAAGTGTAGTGGATGAACAAGCCAAATGTCGGTAGCAAAGATACAGAAGGCACCAGGAGTGACAAGAGTGAGATATTGGCTGGAGAGAGCGCAATAATCTGGCAAACTGAAAGTGCAAAGGCATGGTTTAAATAGGATATTCATGGAAAGAGCAAATGGGTCAAGGTTCAAGAGAAGGAAGACAAAAGGCAAGGTTGTCTAAGAAATGAGGAAGGGAGCTGTTCAGCATCTCAGGTGGCCCTGTCAAGATTCAGCCTGCAGTTTTCCTGTCCTGTGTAATTTTCACCTGCTTGCTGCATTGCTTTTCCTAGACATGTATCCATTTAAGGTGTTGTTTGGTTTCGGTTCTCACCTATGGGCGTCACTTGGTATTCTGTGGGTGTTTATATTTCTTTTACCTTTAATCCCTTTCTGGCACGCCTCCCAGTTTACTTGCCTATGTAAGACATGCTCAGTGTAGCCCGCCTTTTCCCTATTTTTTTGCGCTTGTTTTAAGGGTGTATTTGTGTGTGTGTGTAAAGGGGGTCTGTTAATATAGTTTGGTTATTTTTATTTAGTGTTCTTTGTGTAATTTTTTCTTTTGATCTGTATTTGTGTACAGCCTTTTTTTTCACTGTCTGTTTTTATTGTGAAAATATAACATAGTGAGGCCAACGGGGCACCATTTCTGGCACAAAAACAGGTCCAGAAAAGTATAAAAGAACGTGAGCCATTGACTTCAATGTATTTACACAAAATTACTTTTTTGGATTATTAATGAAATTTCAGGCTAATGAAAACTCTCAATTTTGCTCATGTCTGGTTGGAGCTTTTGGAGCAGATGAATGAAGAATCAACTAATCAGCACCAGAACTTGTTTTTTTTTTCCATATAGATTTCAATCTAAAATAGGACAGATTGCAATACTTTCAGTTTAACATTAAAACAAATCAGATCAAAGAAAAACTTGTAGTAATGGCTGAGAACCTTTTCAGAGAAATCAGGTAAAAAAAAAAAAAGTATTGGATGGATGAAGCAGTTGGTTGAGCTGCCAAGTCAAGCATAACGATAAAGTCACAGTTTTTAGAATATTTCTGTCTTTTGTGAGCCAAAGCCGGTAAGGAGCTTCTAACAGACACTATTTTATTCTTCACTGCATACTGGAGGTTCCCCTAGGACCAATGAACTTCAGTACTAAAATCTAAGCAATACTGATTTAACTAGATTTCTACATTAGAATTACACTTTCTTTCCTATCTGAAAATATGGCAGATGTGAAAACCCTAAAATGCTGACTACATTTGTTCTGTTTCTTTTGTACTTTTTACATAATTTATAAATGGCTACTAATATCAATTATTTACAGTGTACAAAGACATTATGAAGAATTGTGAGACAATAGAACTATACACAGACTTTAATGGCAAAAAGAACAAATGAACGGTGAACCTCAACCCTCAATTATTGCTTTTGGATACAGAGGCTGTTTTAATAACGCAATAAAAGTAACGTTACCAATACTTAGAACCCCCCCCCCAAAAAAAAAAAAACAAAACTTGAGCCTCATTTACTGGAACTCACTGCTACTGCTATATTTTAGCTGGTTTATGTTCACTAAGTTAAAAGTGTAAAGTATATACAGTATGGTGGTGGTGTTAGTGCCATATCTGCAAATAATTAGGAATCAGGACCTTTACTGCACTGCACAAGTATTATATAAAGTTCCAATTTTTAATTTATGCAAAAAATACATTTCTGTGCTGTAGATAAAGCCCCAAGAGTAGTCCCAGAACAGTAACAGAGGGGAGATCTTCCACTGGGGGCACTAGTTTGGTGACCTGGGTGCCCCAAGAGATTCCCTTAATTTGCAGGGATTTCTTCTCACTTCCTGTTTTGGCTATGGCACAGGACATGAAGGTAAATCTCCCCAATGTGACACAGGTGGCAAAGGAAAAAAAAATAACGGGTTATAACCATCTCTTACTCTATCTAAAATTAAAGAAAAAGCCTACAGTTTTACTTTAACTCAATGTAATGTATGAACCTGCTCCTCTGTCCTACCTGTTCCAGCAGTGTCCTCACCGTCTTCTCTCCCTGGTGCCCTCATCCTTTGTGTGGGCACCCGGCTGTGACAGCTTGCGCTTTGTAAATGATCCGGCAGTCTTCTGGGACCTGTCAGGTGTCCCACAAGACCATGGGGGGAGGACGACTCCGCGGAAGTGGTACCTGTCAAATTCAAGTACTCTCCCCCCCCATCGCTCCCCAAAGGTCTGCAGTCTCTTGTCATCTCCTGTACTATGTCTTCAGTCTCTGCTCATCTCCTGTACTATGTCCGCAGTCTCTGGTCATCTCCTGTAGTATGTCCGCAGTCTCTGGTCATCACCTGTACTATGTCCGCAGTCTCTGGTCATCTCCTGTAGTATGTCCGCAGTCTCTGGTCATCTCCTGTTTTATGTCCGCAGTCTCTGGTCATCACCTGTACTAAATCCGCAGTCTCTGGTCATCTGCTGTAGTATGTCCGAAGTCTCTGCTCATCTTCTGTGCTATGTCCGCAGTCTCTGTTCATCTCCTGTCTTATGGAGTGAAAAATACGGTATATAACAAATCACAGAGCATAGTATAAGAACTTTCATATAGGGTAATACACATATGACAATGCTGATAGACACTATGGGGTTTATTTACTAAAGCTGGAGAGTCCAAAATCAGACTCCCTTCTGCATAGAAACCAATCAGCTTCCAGGTTTCATTGCCAAAGCTTCATTGAACAAGCTGAGGTTAGAAGCTGATTGGTTTCTATGCAGAAGGGAGTCTGATTTTGGACTCTCTAGCTTTAGTAAATAAACCCCTATATCTTGGTAGGGTATTTTTATTTGTATCTAAATACATACAATGGCTGCCCATCTAAAAAAAACATCATAGCAACAGTGTGGCTAAACAATCTCAGCGATAGATGAAAAGGTATAAAAAGAACATCCCCAAGTTGTCAAGGAATGATTTACTAAAATGGTAAGCAGATCAGTCCTGGTTAACACTATCACTGGGGCAGGAAAATTGAGGATCTGAAAAAAAATCAAGGCATCAAATGGTTACAGCATTACCTCCATATAGGAAAAATAGTTACTGATGTAAAAATCTTAGACCGGAATGGTATCACATCAAACCATACAAAATGTTTTTCACTAAGGCCCACAAATTATGGAATTTGTTCTGCCCTCACTATACGTGGTTTGGGTATAATTAGACAGACAGATAACCCTTCTCCCTTAACAAGTCATTGATGCAGGCGCTAGGTCCTCTTTTCAACTTTTATTGCAGGGAAGTTAGAGTAAAACTACAAATGAAAGAAATAACATTCAATCAGTGTATACAATATACAAAATATACAGTCTTGACACACTAGTCTAGCTAGAAAGGGTTTTTAAACATACCAGCGATGTTTCCGATAGGCTGACAACAGAACTGCAGCTGAATAAATGTGGAGTCCTCTGGAGAAGATGTAAGTGGCTGCTAGGAAATGTCTCTAAGACCTCATGGTGAAGACTATAGGATGACGGGAAAACTACGGTGGCTTTTAAGCAACAAAATGTGTAACTACAGAAAATAATCTATAAAACTGTAATACAAAAGAGCCACTATATATAGGCGATATTACACTTTACTAATAAACTAACAATGGACATAACATAAAAATATGCTGAAGGCATGACAAAATTATTGGTAATTATTATGGAAAAGGTAATAATAATATATCTGTATGTCCATAGAAGCATTCTTTCCCAGTTGGGAGTTTATTGTAAAAAAGCCTAGTCAGTAAAAAATATAACTAAAAGCAAAATACCTTAAAGTATTATTAAACCTCAAAACAATTATGTAATATACTGCATCTTACAGATTTATAAATATGGTGGCTGCTTTAGTTTTCATTTTTAGTCTTTTTTCCTTTATTTTTACCTGGTGGTCCTGCCAGCAAGTCTGTTGTTTTTCAATTTCTTTAACCACTTGCCCTCCTGAGGATTTACCCCCCTTCCTGACCAGGCCATTTTTTGTGTTATGGCGCTGTATTACTTTAACTGACAATTGCGCGGTCATGCAACACTGCACCCAAATGAAATTTACGTCCTTCTTTCCCCTATGAATTGAGCTTTCTTACAGTGGTATTTGATCGCCTGTGCGTTTTTTATTTTTTGAGCTATAAAAAAAAAGTCTGACAATTTTGAGAAAAAAAACAATATTTTTGAATTTTTGATATTAAACATGTCCAGTAAAAATCAAATTTCATCATAAATTTAGGCCAAAATGTATTCTGCTACATGTCTCTGCTAAAAAAAAATCCTAATATGTGTAAATTAATTGTTTTACATGAAAGTTGTAGCGTTTACAAATGGTGGTATAGATACTGGAATTTTTTTTGTACTAGTAATGGCGGCGATCAGCGACTTATAGTGGGACTGCAGTGGGCATTCTGACACTGGGCAGGAAGGGGTTAACATTTGTTTGTTTTACAGGATGGAGGAGCAAGCAGATAAACTGACAAATCTACAGGAGAGATGCATGACATTAGTGATCAGCTAATCGCTGTGCAATGCTTTAAAGGCTCCTACTACAAAAAATAACAAATGCACATTTTTTTTTACCAGCAAAAAAATGTACATTTATTATTTTTTTTGTAGAAAGGTGAACTTATCCTTTAACAGATCAAACTATCCAGAAAAGTGACAGAGTTGAGACAAACCACTTAACACTAACAAGATGTTTATAATGGTCAGCTTTGATTCATTTGTTTAAAACAGATATCCCAAAAGGAATAAAATTTGTCTTTGTAACTGCTTAACTACAGGTGAAACTCAAAAAATTAGAATATAGTGCAAAAGTTCATTTATTTCAGTAATGCAACTTAAAAGGTAAAACTCAGTCTGGTTCATTAGGAATCACAATCATGGGAATGACTGCTGACCTGACAGTTGTGCAGAAAACCATCATTGACACCCTCCATACGGAGGGAAAGCCTCAAAAGGTAACTGCAAAAGAAGTTGGATGTTCCCAAAGTGCTGTATCAAAGCACATTAATAGAAGGTTATGTGGAAGGGAAAAGTGTGGAAGAAAAAGGTGCACAAGCAGCAGGGATGACAGCAGCCTGGGGAGGATTGTCAGGAAAAGGCCATTCAAAAGTGTTGGGGACTTTCACAAGGAGTGGACTGAGGCTGGAGTCAGTGCATCAAGAGTCACCACACACAGACGGATCCTGGACATGGGATTCAAATGTCGTATTCCTCTTGTCAAGCCGCTCCTGAACAACAAACAACATCAGAATCGTCTTACCTGGGCTAAAGAAAAACAGACCTGGTCTGTTGCTCAGTGGTCCAAAGTCCTCTTTTCTGATGAGAGCAACTTTTGCATCTCATTTGGAAACCAAGGACCCAGAGTATGGAGGAAGAATGGAGAGACACACACTGCAAGATGCTTGAAGTCCAGTGGTAAGTTTCCACAGTCTGTGTTGATTTGGGGAGCCATGTCATCTGCTGGTGTTGGTCCACTGTGCTTCATTAAGTCCAGGGTCAATGCAGCCGTCTACCAGGTGTTTTTGGAGCACTTCATGCTTCCTTTCCGCAGATGAGCTTTATTGGGATGCTGACTTCATTTTCCAGCAGGACTTGACATCTGCCCACACTGCCAAAAGCACCAAAACCTGATTCAATGACCGTGGGATTACTGTGCTTGATTGGCCAGCAAACTCGCCTGACCTGAACTCCATAGAGAATCTATGGGGCATTGCCAAGAGAAAGATGAGAGACATGAGATCGAACAATGCAGAAGAACTGAAGGCCACTATTAAAGCATCCTGGTCTTCCATAATGCCTCAGCAGTACCACAGGCTGATAGTTTCCATGCCATGCCGCATTGAGGCAGTAATTGCTGCAAAAGGGGCCCAAACCAAGTACTGAGTACATATGCATGCTTATACTTTTCAGAGGTCCGATATTGTTCTATGTACAATCCTTGTTTTATTGATTGCATGTAATCTAATTTTCTGAGATTGTGGATTTGGGGTTTTCATGAGCTGTAAGCCATAATCATCACAATTATGACAAATCACGGCTTGAACTATCTTGCTTTGCATGTAATGAGTCAATCTCATATATATCTCATACAGCCATGGGTGGGGGCAAATCTTTAAATTGAGCCCACAACGCATGGTGTAGCTGTAAATATCAGAACAACATGGAGTTGGGAAGGAAGAATTCGAACTGTAGATCTGCAAAGGTTTTTAGCTTGGAGTTGTTAAACAACTGGTGTAGATATAGGACCCCACTGGACGCCCATAGAATAGGATCTTGGATTTGTAACAAGGCAGGTAGGTTGTGATTAAACCACAGTGGGGTATGTGTGTGGAATGTGGGGTTACCAAGTCTAGTCAACGCCAGCTCCCAGATATGTTGATGGTGATAAAGGATGCTAGAACGAGTAAACCTCGGGCACCTCTAAATATAACATGCAAGGGTGTATGAGCTGGATGGAGTGGATGGCAGAAAACCAGTTCTTGGTACATCCCCAAATCTGTTTTGTCAAAACGATAAAAATTAGATAATTGAGTAGCCAATAATATAAGTTTAATCTGGAAGGGCAGCACCGCCTAGGGAGGCTGGATATTTCAGAACCAGCCGTGGTAATTTATGCCTAGTGGTTCCCCATACAAAAAATTTAATACAAAGTCAATGGTCTTGAAAATTTTGAGGGGTAAGTATATGGGGCAATACCAAGAGATGGCAATTTTGGTGAAAAAAAACATTTTAACCATATGAATCCATCCCATAACCCCTAGTGGTAGTTAGTGCTTGCCAGTGCTTGAGTTTTTTGCTTGAGTAATGTAAAGAGAGGTTCAATATTCAAAGGGATATAATCTTGAATAGAACAGATACTTGCACTCCCAGATAGCGAATGGAGGCTACTCTAGCAAAGGGTAAGTTGGTCTGTGTAGCTGATGGTGGAAAGAGGTCAAGAGGGAGAATTTGTGATTTGTCCCAGTTGTCATGGAAATTTTGTATTGTTGGTCGAACTTTAAATGTGTCATATATGAGTGTTATTCATGTGTCTCTCCTGTGGCTTAATTAAAGCTCTGAAGGCTGCAATTGGGCCATGCGCATGTACAATGTATGTATTACAGTACTCAGCTCGGTAATGGATGAGATGGCAGATCTGCGCTTATAGACCGGCATGTATACCACCACGGCATTCGATGCGAATGCCGCTGGCAGTAGACCGTGGGCCTGTATCCACATATCAGCAGCATAGTACCACATGGACTTCGTAACGCAAGGCGCCAAGCGGTACGAACTCCGCGTGTAGGCTTATGCATATCTTACAACCCATTACCAACCTGAAACTGTATCCGGATGGATGTGTTTTAATAAGGATCGTATCGGGCCCATCCGGGTACAGACTGGTATTTAGCCTGGGGGATGCTTGTACAGAGAATGAACATACTGCTAGGAGCTGGAACAAGAAAATATGCTCTCCACAGAGGGCTCATGGGGGGAAGGGGAGGAAGTCTGCTGACCTCAGAAGGCTCATGGGGGAG